TTAAAAGAATGAATGATTAATTTCAAACTGAATCCTTAAAAACCTATGTAAAAAATGCGAAGATTGGATATTTTCGACTCTTAAGGGAAAAAATAAAAATCTGAATGACGTCAAAATTCCTTTATTTCCAGTTTAAAAAAGAAGTTGCCATTATGGTAGTCTATGTCCATATAGAAACATCAAAATTGAGGAGACTAAACGTCTTATTTTGTGTTTCGACGTCCTATGATTTTTTCACTGTAAGTTTCCTATCTATCAAAAATTTTAATTCTAGCAAAACCTTTGATTTTCATTCACTTCATTCCTTCAATTTTTTGGCAAAATTGACATCGATCACTGTTGACTGGTAGATAAACATGAAGAACATTTTTGTTGTTTCACTTGTTACACAACTTTATATATCTTGACGTTTCTTTACTAATTTGATAATGAACATTGTTATTGATACCAGGTCGGAATTTGTCATTTTATGGATTAAATGTGTATGTGTTATTAATAAAGATATTTTGTATTTTAATTCTCTATTGGTCAAAAATTTTTTTATCCCATTCAGCAATTGATAACAAAAAATAATGAGTAATCGTAAACTTTTTACTGTATGGGAAAAAATCTTGTATGTTTTATAGTTCATATCAAGTTGGTTATTTCACTGAATTTAAACCCCAATCACAACAAGATTAGTTAAATGATCTAGTAATAACAATTAATCAAATACTAAATAATGAAAGTTTATTTATAGAAGAAGTTGATCTATCTGATGAGAAAACAAAAATATTATTATTAGAAATCGATAAATTAATTTGTAACAAAACACAACATGAATTAATAATTGTTTATAATAAATATCTATATGGTCAAACACAAATGAAAATAAGTTTAATGGGTGGATCATAAAAATGTAGTCACTTATATTTTCCTTCTATCTCGGACCTCTTCCATCCTTTTGACTTAGTTTTTTTTATTTTGAAAATGCGCCGTGAAATTCTCTAAAAGAATCCGTTAAGAGTTGGAGAAAAAAATGTGTTGGTACAGAGTACGACGAAAATGTTTACAAAGCATCAAAGGTTCAATTTTCTAAATTGTTATTAAGTTGTACCTGAATTTTTTTTCACTAGTTGCACTATCTCTCGAAGGGATTAAACTACTTTTTTTATCTATGCTATTGACTTCTTTCCTATGCATTACTTGACAAACTGATAAAACCAGCTATAATGGGGCAAGAATTAATTTTCTGAACATTTCAACTCTCTCTATTAGAGAACTAGAATCTACTCAATACTTAGTGTTTGGATGCAATACACCAATCATATAGCTTTAAAATTTAAAAAAATTGAGCTCAAAAGACCTATTCTTGGTCGAGTTTTACAAAAAGGACCAAAACTGCGATTTAAAAACGATGTTTTTGATGAATATTGAAAAATTTAAAATGTTTTTTAGACAAGTTTTTGACATGAAAGTTTCTTAACTGCAGTCAAAAAATAGAGCGTTTCGAGCGCTATGGCTAATCAAATTTTTTCATTTGTCGAAAAAACGAGAAATAAATGAGAGAAAAACAATTTTTAGGTTAGAAAGTTGAACCTTTTGATGTTCTGTAGATATTTTCACCGTATGCTGTATCAACACATTTTTTTCCTAAACTTATAATTTCATGACGCATCTTCAAAAAGAATTAAGTCAAATGGATGCTAGAGGACTGAGATATAAAGCAAATAAAAAGTGACTACTTTTTTTATGGCCCACCCGTCGTCTGAGCAAACAAATCTGGTTAAAACAACAAAAAACAATTTTAACATTTAATAAATAAACATGTAAATACGCTGTTACTTTGGTAAATAGTGCCACCTATAAGAGTGGACGATCGGTCACCTAGTAGAACAACCGTTATAAACATTTTGTTTATTTACAAATTTTACATTACACTAGATAGCAGACGATATTGGGCAGCAGAGTTGCGCGGCATAGTCTCGTCCCGATCCGTCGCGACGATTCAGACCGGGATGGGATAGATTGCAGAAAATTTTTGACGAGACAGGACGGAACGAAATGTTCACGAGACGAGTTAAGAGCTTTTAAAACTGTATTCACTAGCGCCCTAGCGAATAATCATAGGTTTTCCTGGTTAAATTTATTGGAAAAAATTCGTTCAATACAATGCGCGAGATAGAATGTTGAACGATGATAAAACCTTACGTTTTTTGTTTACTATTTTTTATTGGAATGACGCTAAACCGTTGAAGCTTAAAATTGTTGACAATCCATTTGAAACAAAATTATCAACATTCGGCTTCCCGGCTGAAGCAGATGAAAATGGTGAATTTCATGTAAGCTGGCTAACTACAAGAAGTGTTATCACATACGTTTTGAAAGACAGTTCAACTAGTGGTTTGAATCATCACAAATGTCCGCTTGCAGAGATGGTCAGACAAAGTTGAATTTTAAGAGAAAAATTGATGACTTCGATACTAGTCTATTCACATCGTCCAAATCCTCTTCTCTGCCGTCTATGTGTCATACCTCTTTCCCACCATCGATCAAAATATTCTTCTCATCTCTGTCTTCATTATACAAGAAGTTTACAGAAAAAAAGTAAGAAAGCATCGCAAGACTGTTAGCTGTGTGCTGTAGTATGATGTCAGAAATAACCGCGAAGACGGGATGGGATTAAGTCTTTACGGGATACGACGGGACGGGACGAAGTCCTTACGAGATACAATGAGAAGGAACGTGAAAAAATATTGTCCCACGCATCTCTGTTGGGCAGAATAAAAATTTAATTAAAAAACAACTATAAAGTAGCTTTAATGGTGAATGATGGTTACTTACATGCACATAAACTATGATGCCATCTTCAGTAATATCAAGGAATTACAGATAATTTGTAATATTTCCATAGACCTTGTACCTAAAATTATTTAGTTTTTCTTTAGATACCTTTCTCTTGGTATTCAAACACTCATTCTCAATTATTTATGAAGATCTTTATTTTGACCGTGAAAAACATGAAATCAATCACAATATTTGCAGATAACTCCATTTGAAGAACCGGTATATAAAAGAAAAAAAACACTCGTGAAAATAGAACAAGCAAGATGTGCACTTACATCAAACAGATGAGGGAATAAAACATAAATAACAAGAAAAATTTATTTTACAGTCTGATTTTAATATAATAAGTTAAAACAAACATTACAAAGCGAATAGTTAGATAAACGCTCGATTTTTATAAAAAAATAAAATTTTCTTTTAGCGAGAATAGAATACTTGGTATTAATGAGACTTTAAAAGACAGAAGGAAACATACGCACACATTTCATTTATATACTTAAATAGATTCAGAACACAGAGCAATAAACATTCTCCAGTATGCGTATGGCATCATAAGCCAGTGTGACAATTTTTGATGAATTCTAGCCAGAAATACAAAATTTTTTAAAGAAAGCAGAAAAAAAAAATAAAATAAAATGATGACTCTTCAAACCATACGACTGAGCCGAGTACCTATACTACGTAACAACAACTATAGTCTGCTCTAATCCTACAAAAACAATTTCATTAAGCCTGAGAAAATTTTTCTAACTCTTTCCACAACCGTCTAACCGTAGTACTAAAATACGTCTAATATAGTATCGCGAACGATATGCACATCAAGATGCGCACTCGAACAGTACAAAAAATTGTCAAAACATTATTATCGCTTTTGTAACATTACCGTTTATTTCTAAACTCTAAACTTAGCAAATCATTCTTCCACTAATTTTTGGTATCTAACGTCTATAGTCGACTCAAAAAAAGATGAACAACTCTATACAAAACTAGAATTTTTCGTGGAAGGTAAACAAGAATCGAACCGTTTCACTAACGTCCAGAATCAAATAAAATGAGAATATTGCTGTTTCTGCAGTATCATCAATGAAACAATGAGGAAAAGAGAGGCAGTCAAATTCAGTAAGATAGGATTGAATAGGTCGCTCACTACATTCACATTCTAGTTCTAAATAATACCATATAAGTTTCAGGAATGAAATGTACCCACAATTGTGTATAGACACAAAAATGTGTTTTTTTACAATCTTTAGCAACCTTTACATTCAATATTAAATAACACTTTATAGATATAACATCTCGTAGGAATTTTATGCTAAAAATAGACACAGTAACCAAACTATCTCGTTTTATTATGTGTTTTTGTGTTATTGTTTTGCTTCCGTTTTTTTTCTTAAAATTTTCAAAAAAAACCAAACGAGCAACAAAAACAAATAAAACAAGTCCAAGAAGCGTTTAGAAAAACAAACAAAATAAAAAACAAACAAACAAGAACAAAAAAGCAAATGAGAGAGAAAGAGAAAATTCCAAAAAATGCGTTTTTAAACAAACAGATAAAGGAAGAACGACGAGTTTTAGTTACTTCCGTAGTGAGTGAGTGCGTGCATGCGTGAGTTGGAGAAGAAAAAAAACGAAAAAAAAAACCGAAGGAATGATGTTGAGTAAAAGAGAGCAAGAAAACAAACAGTAATAGTAGTATAACATTCAAGAGTTTAGAAATATGAATTACAATTTTTAAAAAGATTATCACTCATCCCAATGACAGAACAACAAATTGAAATGAGTGTAATATATTGTGTGTATATATATATATAATCATTGCATACTATACAGTTTGTTTCCGAGTATGAAAAGGAAAGCGAACGACAACGATGAAAAAATATTAGAAATTAAACAGGGCTTTGCACTGTACTCAATAATCAAGAATAATAATAATACGAGAGAAAGAAATTACACAACGGTGGGAAAGGATAAACAGCGTTGATTTGTTGATGAAGTTCTTGGTGTGTGAGAAAAATTACATGCGTTGTTGTAAACGAAAGACGAAATATACAAAATTAAATTTTCTTCCCATAATGTTAAAACAATGTAATAATAATAAGAATAAATCAATATACTAAAAATAAAAGGGATATGTTAGTTGATAATTTATGTGAGTAACACATTCAGAATTGTACCTAATGACCATGAAAACCATTTGCATAAGCTCCTATCAGAGATGTGGCTAGTGGTATTCCGGTTGAAGTTGGACTTGTAGGCTGTAGATATGTGGTACCATCTGGTGGAAAAAAATCGAGCGTACCGTTTGCGCCTAAAATAGATATCAAGAGATACAAGATAGAAATAAAATCATGGGTTTTTCTTTTCAATTCATGGATATCAATACATACTCCTTTGAAGTAATGTTTCTCGATGTATTGCATTTGATAATGCCATTGCATCTGCTCTTCCGGGTTGCAATTGCTGAGTTGTTATTGGATACTCAAAATAACGTTGTTCTCCAGGTGCCAGTGTTGGTGTTTGTAAGGCTCCTGCTGGAATATAACTAATTTGAGCCGAGCCAGGAATACCTTTAAAAGAACAAAAAAAAAACGTAAATCATCAGTAAATTACATGAGCTGCTTTTTGGTTGTTTGCTGTTTGCTGTCCTAATAACCAAATTTTCTGCGCCTAGTCTAATTTTATATGTGACTATTTCATGCATCTAGAGAACTTTTACTCAACAACGTCACTTATTTGATATAACATTTATATTCACATTAAAATGGTCAAAAAAAGCAGGAGAAATCGAACATTTTCATTTTTTAAGCATAAATTTTCTTCGATAATGTCTACATATGAGTGTGTGTTGTGTTGTGTGTGTGTGTGTGTGCAGCAACCATGCGCTTGAAACAAAAAAAAGTCATGCGAAAGAAGCATCAATTTATTAGCATGGTAAGTAGTATAAAAACTCCAAAACTGAAATCAACACGAAAATCCAGCTATTTTAACCAACCTTTAGAAGATATTCTCTACTCTAACAACTCTTCTTCTCTTAAAAATTCGATCAGAGAATAACTATTAAATGAGCAATCGTTGTTTTATAGATGTCCCGATGGTCGACAAACAGTGCTTAAAATTTGAACAATAATGCGTTTTAAAATTTAGGATAAATACAAATGCAATAACAGTCAAACAAAGACAGCAAGATATAATTTCTCTCTTATTGTCGACACGCCAATCTTTTTTGTATAGATGTACGTCTTATCTTACCGGCCGCAAAATAAGCTGGTAAACGGTTATGAAACCGAGCAACATCGGTCCCATATAAATTGTGCTGTTGATGAAGTGAAATAGCAGTCTGGCCTAGAAGGAGATCTCGAATAGTTTTATTATTAGATTTGAGAAATTTTGTTATTCAAAGAAAATTAATTGTCATAATCTACATGTAACGTTTCTAGATATTATAAACAATCACATGCCTTGGAGCGCTAAGATTAGCTTCAAGAAAAACGGTGCGCACACACACACGCTACAATCTTGCAACTATTGATGATAAACGAACAGCATTATATAAATTTATTAACTCATTTTCCTCTACTTCGCTCTTTACACTTTTACGGCTGAAATAGGTAAACAACAACGTTAAACTAACTACTTATTAAACTAATTTAGCAAATTTTAATATTAAACTGCGATGAAGAATTTTAACCTATGCATTTTAAGCACTGATTTTTTTTTTGCGAATACTACAACTAATTTTAATGTATATATATATCACAGTGTATGTATGTGTAGGCAGAAAATTCGTTGTCTATATGAACACGAGTGAATTGTGTACTGTAACAGTACAATTAATTCATAACTTTTCAATTCTCTACTAGCTAACATTCTCTCTATAACTGTGCACCACACAAACATATATTTAATACTTATGAATATATAACATGACTATTTATATAGTTGTTTCTAGCTGACCATAAAAGAAGAAGCCATAATGTTCAAACTAAGTATAGTTATTGTGTCAAAAAGATAACATTTCGACAACGAAAAAGAAAACTAAATTATGTGGTGAGAGCCTAATGTGAGGGTGTTGGTACATGTACATGTACGTTCTATCTAAATTAACAAATACTAACTAGAAGTACTCTATATCGAATTTGGTTAATCATATGACGTTTTTATCTTTTTATCACAATCGATTTAGTTGGTGAACAGGTTTATATTTCAGTAAAAAGTTAAAAAAAGTGAATTTGACAGAGCTAAACAACATATCAAAAAGAAATTCAATTTATAGAAACTCTCATGGAATGACGATACAATGAATCCGTTTTCCATAACACCAATCAAGTCTTTTCGAAATATTTTTAAAATGTGGTACTTTAAATTTCATGAGAAGGTATTAGATTAGAATAACAAATTGTACTAGATTCATTATTCAATAAGTTCTAGATATGAACCATCTAATTCGATTGTGTAAGAGATAAAAGAAACCCTATGTAACCATTTACAAAGGCAAACACTTTCACACGTAGACTACTTGAACAGTATGGATCCTACTAGTTATTTACGCATTAATTCACTATATCTTTTTTATGATTGTTCATCTTCATTTGCTGTCGCTGAGCTATAATCTGAGTGTGTTCTTTTTTACACTCTTAACCGTCTAAAACAGACACGAGTAAGATGAAAAAAACGTTTCTTGATATATTCTTTGAACGCAAAACAGCAGTGATTTTTTTTTTTTTATCAGAAAACAACTGCCTTACCGATGCATGACAATACACAATAAAAAAGAAAATATCATACGTACCAGGTGAAAATGGATAAATTGGAGCGGCATAAGTCGCTGGCATTCTATTTAAACCATAAACATATGCACCTAGAACGAAAACAATAGTAAATATGTTATTATTATACAACTATTTGTTATATAATAATACATACTTAAGAGATCACCATATACTCCTCGTTGTAATGCGGCTTTTCCTTTTGCCATTTGTTGCGCATACATGACTTCTTTTGGTTGTGCTTTTTTACATTCAACCTAAAAACAAAACAAAATTAATAAAAAATATAAATCTATGATAAAATAGATAAAACATTGTATACCATTTTATTATTTATTTCATGAAAATGAATGTCACACACTTTATCAACAACATCTTCATTTTCGAATGTCACAAAACCAAATCCTATAAATGACAAAAATATATTTCCCTAGACTCCCCGTATAATATTAGTAATACATCTGTCTATTTTTTTTCTAAATGATTTACACGTTCATCATAGGCAAAAATTGCAACAGGTCATTCGATTATATTGTCTCGTTTTCGAGACAATTTATTTGATGTTAAATTGACTCATTCAATACCAGTAAGGTATTGAAAAAATAGAAAAAAGTCAAAGTATTATTATTTGTATATCGTCAGTGAATACATACCTCTATGTCTTTGTGTAGCTTTATCAAACATTAACATTGCATCTTCAACCTGAAAAATCAATTAACATTCTCTCATTAAATGAGTATACACCTATAAATAATTATTTAATTACCTTTCCATATTGTTCAAAATATTTTTTAACATCATCAACTGTTGTATTAGCAGATAATCCTCCAACAAATATTTTCTTCGTTCGTGTCACCATCTAAATAAATACGAAAATAAAATTTAAAAAAAACAAAACATTGATGTTTTTAAAAAATCGAAAACAGTCTAGTATATTAGTTTTCCTCTTTTTAACCTGTTCAATTGGTCCAAGAGCAGTCTTGGATGGATTTGATTACACAACAGTATATAACTATAATGACTTCATTTGCTCCTATCTCTCTCTCTCTCTCTTTCCCTTTATTTTTCTTTTCGCTTAACTATTTGCATGGGTCTTAGAAAAGATTTAAGAATGAAACGTGTATATGAATGAATGCGTTACGCTTTTCTTTTTATACTTTGTTCGTGTGTATGAGTGAACATGTAATAATAAGAAAAAAAAAGTAAATCATGAGGATGTAAGATGATAATGATGATGATGAGTTGGACTAACAAGCATTTAAGACTTATAATGATAATAATGAAAAACAAAACTTTCATTGTTCTAGAAATACACGAGATTTCGAAGAGATATCTACTTTTACTAAAATATCCCTTCTTTATTACTAGCAGATCAGATTGCTTTATTCCATGTGAAAGTATTCGTCGACTAGATACGACAAACACGAGTCATATATCACTATTTTTCTTCTGTTTTTTTGTTGTTTCTCTGTAGAAAAAAGTGTAGATGTTGCTTACCGTATTCGTATCAGTTTCATTCTCCGATAAATAATTATCACTAACAACGGTTGGTGTTAACAATAATCCGTTAGAGGAATCAAGAATTACAAATGAGGATGAGGATGGTGAATTCATTGACATTTATAGAGTACGAAAAATTATTGCTTAAGACAACAAACGAATATATTTCATGATAATAAGCAACATCATCGGCCTGTTACAGAGAGAAACAGAGAGAAAGAATGACTTTTAGTCATACCATCATATTTTATTAACATTTCTCATTTAATGCGTCTAGTGTATGTGTATGAAAACAGTAGTACTAAAACCAAATTCTCTTTTTTTTTCTTCTTCTCTTCTCTTCTGTGAAACTCGAATAAAAATAAAACTGTTTTGTTATATTGCTAATGAACCTTGTCTTTTCATTCTTCTACGTATATATAGATCTTCCTTTTCTCTCTCTCTCTCTCTCTCCCCTCTTCCTATGCATCCGTTTTTCAACCGAAATTTTACGTTTTCTCGGATGTTTCTCTTTTCTTTTTCTTGCAATATTGCAACAGCAGGATAGAAGGAAAAGTGTAGGAGAGAGCTCTGATTTCTTCAACAAAAAAAAAAATTTATTCTAATTCATTTTCGGTCCGATGGAAATGAGAATCGAAAAAAAAACACATAAGTATACAGTAATAAATAAAGCTCTCTGGTATTAGATTATTGTTCTAGCCCTAAGGCAGTCTGTGTTGTTGTTGTTATTATTAGATTGTTAATTGTCATCTTGTTTCACAAATTTTGTTGAAAAATAAAATTTATTATTTAAATCAGAATAATGGCTTCAGGACATACTTCCTAGAAAATTATTCGCATCGTTCGTCAATATGGTATTATAAATAATATACCGTTACTAGGACCACCGTTCATGATGCAAGTCAATCCGTCTTTATTTTCACTTTTTCAACAGAATAATTCTATCTCTTCATTTCCTTTTCTTTTTTTTAGTAGAATTGCTATTCAAAAAAAAAAAATTGGAAACAATCATTATTTTTCTAGAAGTTTATGTGATCAAATAGAAGAAGACATATTTGTCCATGATGTAAAATAAATGATAAAATGACGCAAATCTCTCAGTAGTTGTGTATACATGTAGATTTGTCATCATTTAGAACAGAATGACTATCGTTTAACGGAAACCAAAGACAAGAAAAAATTATTTTGTGCACAATGTGATTCATGATGAATCCGTGAAAAGTAAATCTTAACAATTTACCAAATAAGAAAAGAGAAGAAAAAAAAAAGAGAGAATAATGATAGACATCGTCTCTTAATTTTATCTAAAACTAACAAATTTTCTCAAAACTCGAGGATTTCCAAATACATAAAATATGTTTCTTCAAACCTTTAACAGACAAGAAAATGTCTAAATCAAGTTGTCAAATTACGACAAGTCTCTGTGTTCTGATATCGTATATATTTTAAAAGACATCGTTTATTTCACTGCATGTAATAGAAAGAAAGACACATTTTGGTGATTATGATACCCTAGATTTTAACAATAAGTCACATAAAATTCTTCTCAAACTTTTGTCATATTTTTCATAACACAATGTTTTTAAACTTTTTCATTTAGCAAGCATTTTCTAACTACATTCAATTGTCACAAACATATAGGAAAACGTTTTCGAATCATAATTCAGTCATCTTGCATTCGGACCAATCGAACATTACGAAAAACAAATGTATAATACACAATTTTTGACTAAATAGTTGAGTATAGATGTTAGAAACCCTCTTTCTACAAAATAATGATTAACTAAAGTTATAGGTACACATAAAACAGACTATAATATCATCAATCAATGGTTTTGTAATTCTCAAAGGTATCAATGGTTTTATCTTTCGTTAAATACTTAAACGTCAAGAATTTAAAAACTACTGTCGTTACTTCAGAAAACTGACGTCTTTTTTTTCTCTCTCAACCGGATCTAATATCATAGGAAAAGAAAGGGAAAAAAAAGAAAGACGAAACAAAGAGGAGAGAAGAATAACAAATCAAAAATGTCTCTTCATCTCTATTTAAAAGAAACCCTTTTTTTTATTTAGGACTTCGATCACGCATACACACACGATTTGCATATAATAAACAATTCAGATGAAAACAAGTTTTATCATAACTTATTATTATTCAATAAAAAGGAAAGAAAAAAAATCTCCATGAAATCAATTGAGCTTCAATTGTTGAAACGATCGATGCGAATCGATGGGACGAACACGATGACGATAACGATTTTTTATATTTTCTCGGAAATTCGATTAAATAGTTCCACTGTTACCATTGCCATTGGCATCAATTTTTTTCTTTTTCTCTTCACGTAGATTATTTCCGTTAAAACAAATTAGTCGGAGTGAAACGAATTATCTCTCGTGGTAGCCGTATTTTGAAATTTAGAGAAATAAACGCACACACACACACACACATACATATAAAACAAAATCAACACGACTACTACATATGTTACAGTGTTAGGACAAATCACAACAAAGGATTAAACATAAATCCCCCGTTTCCCTTCATGAAGGTTAAAAAAATACATCTCTAGAGAGAAAAAAGAGTGAGACGCGAATAAATAATGAATAAAAGACATCGGTCAATCAAATGATGATGACTGTGTGTGTATTGTTGAATGATATCATTGAACATACACAAAACATATTTTATTTCATGCTTATGATGATTAATATAAACCGCTATGTAGAAAAATATATCTAAGATAGATAAGAAGATAATTATAGGAGATCGTATAAGGTACTTTTTTTCTGATACTTATTTTATATTCAACTAGATCTCAACAAGTAGAGTTAAATAACGAGACCAACAGCTGAGGTTATTTAACAAGTCTAGTGTAGCTGTATGCCGTTTTTCATATAAAAATAAAAATACCCGTTGAAAGCAATAGATAGGAATCAACTGGTGTATTGAAAAATTTGTTTTATCAACAATACTAAACTTACTAACTGATATCTGAATTCAAATCCATAGTTATGCGGATGAGAAACAGAAAACAAAAATAATCACTACTCCTTCGACTAAGTAATCCTCTGATATTAAAATTAATGAAGCCGATCAATGCATAGATTTATCTGAGTTCAGTCATAAAGAAATATCTTCTACAGTTATGTTTCAAACATACACAGACTAGTGTGAATTGTCTGATGATAAAAACTTTGCCTTTTATTAGATCGTTTTGTTTTAGCTGTTTCTCTCTCTCTATCGTTAAGTTTAGAGCTGAAACCAAAAATAAATGTTCCTTAACAAAAGTAAAGAGAAGACATCCTGTTAGATATTTCAGAGTTCGTCTAACTTCTGAGATTTGGTGATAATTTAAAGTCTAACTTACATCATCATGTTTTGTTGTTCTAATATTATTAAATGAATTGGCGTTTAATGACGTAGCAGGTGGACTAGTTTGAACTGAAATTTCATTTGGATCTAATATGATATAGGACATTGCCATAATTTTGTCGTATGTATGTATAAAGATCTTTAGTGACTATTATATAGTAGATTATTAAATAGAAAAATCGTATAGTCGATGATATTGTTTATTTATAATAAGTTTTTGACAATACATTAACGAAAATATGTGACAAACAATTTTATACTATGTTCAAATGAACTATGGAAAACTTGTTCTTATGTATATGTGTGTGTGTGTGTGTATATAGATCTGGTAACAATACGGTATGTATGTGTATGCGTGTATATGTGTACGTACAAAAACTAATTTCTCTTTTTTTTTTCTTTCGTTCGCTCGTTCTCTTTTTCTTATTATTTGTACATTAATTCTTTCTTTTTCTTTTTTTAAAATTTTTGTGTTCTGTATGTATACGCACGTAGAAAGAATTTAAAATGAAAAATTTAACAATACTACAAGATACAATTCAGACGAATTTGGGCGGTCGTCGATATATCCGTTGTCGTCCAGTCTCAAAATCCATTAATTTCAAAGTTTTTCACAAAATAACAGTGTACGCAGGAAAAGAACTAAAAAAATATAGAGAGAGATTTCTAATATGGACAATAGAGAAAAGAAGGAAGAAACAAATAGAACGGCGAAATAGTTAGTCTAGTCTCATCCGTCAATGATGAACACCTCATCATCATCATTTTTTTTCTCTCAACAACAACAACAACGAAAAAAAGGAGAAGAAATCTGTGGTAGTGGAGAAGAATTAATGATTATGTGATGATGAATAGGTTCCCCTCTGGGTCAAAAGAAGAAAAAAAAAAGAAATTGAGAAATAGAATAGAAAAGAACGTGCAAACCTCAAGCGCTGAATAGGTACATATAGATCTATATGTTCTAATTATAGTTTCACTTTTGGTTTCAAGTTTTTATGCTGCACAATAAGACCAAATAATCAAAAGGAGAAAATGAGTTGATGGTTCAATCAAACAATAAAAAAAGAAATGTTTCATTCTCATGACTTAGAAAAACAAAAACAGATGTAGTATCGAATAAATTTACCGACTAAAAACAAATGAATCTTTTAAAGTTAGTAGCGCCATAAATCTTATTCTCTCCTAAGCGTTTTACTCTTAGTAATTTTTTTTAAAATTTTTCTGCAGTATAATTTCACCATTTGCTTTTATCTTTTTCATTTTGAATAAGATAATTCAGAGAGGTCACATAAAAATGCGTCTGATAACCTCTATAGAAAGTCTGATGTTATCAATATAAGGAAATTTGTTATTTTTTTTTTCAGTGCAAAAGAATATAACCGTATATCTAGAAAAGTTCTCAAATAGAAATCTTGAAACAAAAGAAGAAAGAAAAGATGAAAACTTTGCTTTTTGTTTTCTTTCCATGTACGCATACATCCATATTTATATCTCTCTTTACTCACATTATCATATAACCTTTGAACACGAATTTTTTGTTTGCATAATCGAAGGAATACATACGTACATATACATTCGTATGCAACGAGAGAGAAAGTAAACACTTCCTATATAAAATAACACCTGTGTGTTTAGTGGATATATATGTACAGAGAGAAATAGAGGGAGAGCAAAAGACTGCTTTCAGTTTAATACATTTTTATACGATCTACTCTTTTGCCGTATTAAAATGAATCATATC